TAGAACTTCGTGGATATAACGCTGCGCGTTCATGTTACCTCTGATGAAGATTAAAGGTGACCTGGAACCATAAGCTATAGCACCCCAAACCATAACTCCAACAGTGTGATGAACATGTCTTTCAACAAAAAACTGTGGATTCCTCCTTTCACCACGTCGCCTTCTAACCCTGGCACGACCATCGTGCATGCCTAAACAAAATCGAGACTCGTCCTAAAGACAATACTGTTCCATTCCTGATCCCAGAGTGACCGTTGCCTGCACCACTCAAGGCGATTACGTCGGTGTTCTCGAGTTAAAGGGAGGGACCCAGTGTGGCCGGTATGAAAACAAGCCAAAACTTCTCATTCGTCCGTAAACACTTCGCATGCCAATAGGTCTTCCGTGTTCTGCAAACCATTCATTTGCAATGGACCTGTAGTGGAGAAACGGTCCCTTAAGTCCAATAATCTTAGGCGGCGATCTTCACGGTCTGTTGTTCTACGGCGGGCGTCCAGTTGCCCCTTGCTCTTTGCGTACGGCCTTCTCGAAGCCAGGCCTGACAACACCTAACCACAGTGTCTACACTTCTTTGCACTCTAACTGCAATTGCCCGAAAAGAAAGTCCAGCTTCCCGAAGTCCCACTATACGGCCCCTATCAAACTCACTAAGTTGACGAAATCGTACAGGTCTCCGTACTCTAGGCATCGTAACCGATCGTAAAGGATGTCAAGAACCAAAATCCGCCAACGTTGATTCTTGTACTGCGGCTGAAATATTCATTTTTAGAGCGTTAGTGAATTAAAAAAAGCAGTATAGAAACCGGAATGTCCAACTGATAAGGCTGAACATTTTTTCACTTGTTATTTACAGTAAGATAAATAGATTCACCAACTTTTATTAAAATAAAACCATTTAAACTGCGTGTTCGGATTTATATGTCACTTAGTATATGTGTATCCAACGTATGGTAGAAAAGTTTCATAACATCATCCCTTTTAAAAGTCAGACTGCGTACCGTATTCGCTTGGAAAATCCATGGAAAATAGTGAGTAACTTTTCCCAAGGTAATTGGCAATTCAAAGACGTATGCAGAGGAAATCTTTTTTGCTTCATTGTCTGAAAGCGAAACCGAATTCCATTTATAATTCAACTCTACACTTAAAGCATTGAGTACGGCCAGCTGAAATTTGCCTGTTGACGGCAGAATATTCAATTATAAGATATAAATTCTTTCAACCTTCCGATTTAATTGGAGACGAAATCATGCCGAGATTTTATTCGCAGAAAAGCTGTCCGATGGACGGTACTTACAAACTGTTTTCATCTATCGAAGGGGCAGCTCCTATATATTACTCTAACTCAAATAAAAAACAATCTATCAGAAGAGGCATTCGTCAGTTCTGAAAAATGAAAAAATGGTAGCACAAAAATAGTAAGTTACCGCGCTAGTCTACGAGACCGACGACTAGAAACTGAAAGATATAGTAAGTGACATATAAATCCGAAACACCCCGTTTAAATGGTTTTATTTTAATAAAATTTTGTAAAAGTACTTAATGAAGCATAGTAAGTAAATGATAAAAATTTCAAAATGATTGCACTGCTTTAAAGCCCTTTGACCTTTAATAATGTGTGGATGCACCCTGATGTGCTACGCATTCTCCAACGCGCCTAGGCATGCTTCTGATCAGGTGGTCAATGTCCTCCTGTGGTATCCTCATTCCAGGCAACCACCAACTCCTCTCGAAGTGCTTCTAGAGTCTGAGGAGGACGTTGCAAATTGAGCAATCTCATACCCATCATATCCCACACGTGCTCAATTGGGGATAAGTCGGAGATCTTGGTGGCCATGGTAACAATGTGACATCATTATGTTGAAAGAAGTCTATTGTGACTGATGAAGATTAAAGGTGACCTGGAACCATAAGCTATAGCACCTCAAACCATAAGTCCAACAGTGTGATGAACATGTTTTTCAACAAAAAACTGTGGATTCCTCCTTCTCAACCACGTCGCCTTCTAACCCTGGCACGACCATCGTGCATGCCTAAACAAATCGAGACTCGTCACTAAAGACAATACTGTTCCATTCCTGATCCCAGAGTGACCGTTGTCTGCCACCACTCAAGGCGATTACGTCGGTGTTCTCGAGTTAAAGGGAGGACCCAGTGTGGCCGGTATGAAAACAAGTCAAAACTTCTCATTCGTCGGTAAACACTTCGCATACCAAAAGGTCTTCCGTGTTCTGCAAACCATTCATTTGCAATGGACCTAGTAGTGGAGAAACGGTCCCTTAGGGAAAATAATCTTACGCGGCGATCTTCACGGTCTGTTGTTCTACGGCGGCGTCCAGTGCCTTGCTCTTTGCGTACGGCCTTCTCGAAGCCATGCCTGACAACACCTAACCACAGTGTCTACACTTCTTTGCACTCTAACTGCAATTGCCGGAAAGAAAGTCCAGCTTCCCGAAGTCCCACTATACGGCCCCTATCAACTCACTAAGTTGACAAAATCGTACAGGTCTCCGTACTCTAGGCATCGTAACCGATCGTAAAGGATGTCAAGAACCAAAATCCGCCAACGTTGATTCTTTACTGCGGCTGAAATATACATTTTTAGAGCGTTAGTGAATTAAAAAAAGCAGTATAAACCGGAATGTCCAACTGATAAGGCTGAAAAATTTTTTCACTTGTTATTTACAGTAAGATAAATACATTCACCAACTTTTATTAAAATAAAAACCATTTAAACTCGGTGTTCGGATTTACATGTCACTTAGTATATTTTGTTTCTCATTACTTGTCATAAAATTTCATGAGAATGTAATCTCGATGTAAGACTACTTCTTGTTAAAAGATCAAATTGAAGAAATTTTTTGGTGAATCATATCTAATCACAATTCAATTTCACCTTTTGAGACGATTCGAGTCATCCTTTTTCTCTGAAACCTGCAGCGAAGGCGTAAAAGTATCGAGTCAACCTACTCGACGTGATTTTCTAATTTCTAGCAAATGCCTAATAACTGTCTTCCAGAGAACAGGCTACTTCCAAGTGGTTTAATGGTTATGCTTAATTTTAAATTCACGTCAAACTACGCTCTATCAATCAATTTCTACACCACACACCATTTTCACATGCCGGCGTAAATTTTCATTGCTTTTTTCTAAATCGGTCGGAGCCAGCGTGGCCGCCAGCGATTTCGTCTCCGAATCGATCCTAGTTAATAATTATTCATGAAATTCGTCATTCGTTAGCAGGCGAATAATCGAGGCTTCAAAAGCTGGGTTTTCGTGATGTCCCGTTCTAACGATACATCCAGTGAAATCTCTGCTGATGCAGTCAAACCGGATTGCATAGCATAAATATGTACATGCACAAAGCGGGGTTTATGTAGCAGTTTGAAAAATGTAGATTGAAAGGAAATATTTGCTTGATGTTTGGAGTACTACTAGTGGGGTATACAGAGGCGTTACCGTGGCATTTTCCGTAATTCCTCAAGATGAAATATTCTAATTAAACTGCTTTAAAAGTGTACATTTTTACGCTTGAAGTACTTGTGTTTAACTAGTAGCATACAAAGAAGTCTATTCTATTGCAGTGGACCCCGACAATCCGGCGCCTGTCTAATCCGGCGCCCCCTGTAATCCGACTGTCTTTGATAGTATTACATACATACGTATTTGTCAATCTTCGCTATGTAGATCACGCAGGTTTGAACAGGTTACAAGAAACACGACAAGATCAAAAATTTCGTGTCACTACTGACTGCGGGCCAGGCAAGAGACAGACACTCAAGGAAGCTAAACATCCAGTAGTGGAAGAAGCTTTGTACATGTGGTTTCTTAGGAAAGAAATAGGCATGCACCAATTTCAGGACCCATGTTGTCCATGAAAGCTAAGTTTTTTTATAAGGAAATAACAAAAAAAGAGATTTTGTGGCCAGCAAAGGATGGCTAGAACGTTTTAAAAGTCGTCATGGCATACGTTTAATAACTATTACAGGAGAGAAACTTTCTAACGATGCCACCTGCATAGAGCCCTTTAAATTAAGATTTTCGCAAAAGGTGACCGATTTAAATCTTGATCCGTCACAGGTGT